TCTTCTAACCTCATTCTTTACCAGGTATTGTCCTCATCCTTTCTCATAGTGCCTTAGAAGCAGCTTCCTCCGCTACGTTTCCATGAGGGAAGAAGCATGTGTACTTTGCTTTTTCAGATAGCATTGGTGATACTAACAGGAAGAACTTAATTCTACCCCAAGTGATAACACTCTATGTGAAAGACGGACTACACACTTCCCTCTGAACTTGGTCAGGGAAAAGAAAAATGGAATAGATGGCTCCTGAAATTTTTTCCTGTTCAGAGATTCAGATTTTTTTCCCCCCGTTTAAATGGTCAACAAATGAAAAGTGACATTTGGAATTACCACTGTCTCTCTGTTGCTCACCATCTTCAGCTGAGTGTCTGCTTCTCTATAAAGATTAACACATTTTCCACTCATGATTTGTCAGGGAATTTAGGGTTTTTCTGGAACCTGAAGTCTGCCTTTGGTCGTGTTGATTACTGGATAATTGCCTATTCTTGGGTGGAATTTCCATTGTTAGATTACGCCAAGCTCTCCAGCCTTTATTTCTTTGGCAGAAGAATACAAAGGCAATGGAGTGTATTTTTTCCCCTTCCCCAGCCCAGCTTAAACAATGACTCACTTGGGCCCTGGGGCTTTGCTTCCTACTTTCATTCAGGGGCCACTTTCTACCCTGGGTCTTCTTATTTGCCCTTGGAGTTCTGTTTGGAACCTTTTAGGTCCTTTGGCACATGGTTTTTACCCTGAGGTTATTGTCAGAGAAGTATGCAACACCAACCCCAACCTGGAACAATCTAGCTGTGCCCTGTAAGCCATGTTGTTCTTAGAGCAGCTGACATAGGTCAGAGAGAGTACAGAGAGAATATCTTTAAGGATATGTAATTCCAAATAAGGTAGAGGGAGAAGTATTCTCCAAAAAGATATGAGTGCCGATGTCATCCAATCAAAGATGGAAAGATTTCCCTCTATATGAGGTGCTCTGGCTAAAATTCCCTCAGTGTACATAAGTGGTGGGTGGGAAGTATTGAGAGGAATCGGACCCCGTTTTCAGAGGGATATGGTTCCATGAAGAGACTTCCTTACAGAGGACTTGGTATAATCAGAGTTTTGTTGGAGAAAAAAATATTTTCCCCCTTTCTGGTAGTGGTTCTATCTGGTCTTGATTTTCATTCTGATTTCAGCCTTCCATAACGATCCATCTAATGATGGTTTTTTGCTTTTTCTCTTTGCAGTTTTAACAGTGTATGTCAGGGCACTCACATTCTCTTTCGTGAATTCAGCTTCATCCAAGCCACCCCTCACAACAGAGCATCTTTCTTACGGGCCTTCTGGAGATGCTTCCGAACTGTGGGCAAAAATGGCGGTAAGTCTTCCCAAATTCTTTTCTTGCCTTTTTTTTCTTCCTTCCAAACTCCTCTTCCTTTTGTTCCTATAAATACTGTTTGAGTGCATGCTAGTCAAGGCTCTAGGCACACCTTACTTTTGAGGAGCTATTTGTCTTGTGTCAGGGATACTGCCTGCATTACCACCACCATCCCCATCACTAATGAGCGTATTAAGAGCCAAGGGTAGCTCTGAGCACTTTACATGTAGTAGTTCATTGACTCTTCACAACACCTCTCTGTGGCAGATACTGTAACCCTCATTTTGAAACTAATGAAACTGAGGATCTGAGGGGTTAAGGAACTTGGCAAGGTTAAACAGTAAACGCTGGGGCCGGATTCATACCCAGGCAAACTGGCTCCAGAGCCTTCGCCCTTGGCACATATAAAATACCATGCAGCAAATTCAAGCAATGATGTGAATACAAAGAAGGAGACTCCTGAGCTGGGGGGAATGGGATGGGGGTACTATTGTTAGAGGCGGGGAGAGAATGGGTTAGAGAAGGTTCTCCTGAGAACTGGCTATTTGATCGAAGTTGGGAAGGAAGAGTAGGCGTTATCCACATGGATAAAGGGGAGAAGGCATTCTAGGTAGAGCATGTGCTGTGGTGTGGAAGCATAAAAGAACCTGGACTATTTAAGAAATTGAGATCAGCATGGCTAGAGTTTGTGAAGGAGGTGAGGGGGAGATGAGCCTGTAATGAAATAAAAGAAAGAGTCAGGTCCTGAAAGATCATGTTTTGCGTAAAAAAGAATTTGGATTTTAGACAGAAGAGTGGTGTGATGATATCTGAGTTCTAGTAAGAACATTCAAAAGGCAGTGTGTGGAAATGGCTTAGAGGGTGAGACCGGAGGCAGGGAGCACAGTTAGGAGACTTGTAATATTTGAGGTGAGAGGTTATTAATAACAAGAGCCAAAACTAAGGCAGCATTCATGGGGATGGAAGGAGCATGTTCAGAAATAGAGTTCACAGGATTGGTGATTTGGTTTGTCACGTAAGGTGAGTGAGAAGACTACTGGTGAATTTCCAGGTAAGTGTACAGTCCTGGAGCATTACGTACATGTACATTGTTCTGTACCATCTTTCCCATCCATCTCCAGAACTTTTTCATCTTCCCAAACTAAAACTCTGTACCAGTTAAACACTAACTCTCCATTCTCCCCTTCCCCCAGACCCTGGCAACGACTATTCTACTTTCTGTTTCTATGAATTGGACTATACTCTAGGTATCTCATATTGGTGGACTCATGTAATATTTATCCTTTTGTGAATGACTTATTTCATTTAACATAATGTCCTCAAAGTTCATGCATGTTGTGGCAAGTGTCAGAATTTCCTTCCGTTTTAAGGCTAATATTCCATTGTATGTGTATACATTTTGTTTGTTTAAGTCATCTGTTGATGGTCCCTTGGGTTGCTTCCACCTTTTGGCTAATGTGAATAATATGATACGTTAAGTTTTCAAAAAAGTGATATTTCTTTGGGACACAGTTAAAAAGCTTCAGTAAGAAGCAGGAAATACTGGTCAGGTTCTAGAAATACAGATTTTGGGAAGTAGAATAAAGTTTACTGAAGTAAGTTTTTGTTTCACCTTAAAAATCCTTGAGAGAAGAGCTATGTGCACTGGAAAATGCAAGTAATTTTTATATTTGCACACTATTGGTTTGGCATATTCTGATTATAGTCTAAGGAAAATATGAAGAAAAACACTGATTGAAAATGTCTTTATTGAGACTTTATCATGATGAGATGAAGGGCAAAAGATACCCATTAAGATACCCATTCTTCTGGGCAGCCGGTTGGCTCCAGTGGTTAGAGCACAGGCTCATAAAACCAAGGTTGCCAGTTCAATTCCCACATGGGCCAAGGAGCTGTACCCTCTACAACCAGATTGAAGACAACTACTTGACTTGGAGCTAATGGTTCCTGGGAAAACACACTGTTCCCCAATAAAATTTCTTTAAAAAAGAAAAAAAGAGTTTCTTTTTCAAAATGGCATTCCATTCTTACCTTCAGAATATTAAAATAGATTAAATTGCTCCAAAATGTTCAGATTTAGGATCTCTATATCAAAACCTTTGTTCACATCTGTTTTCAAGGGGCTATTTGTAGTCCCACCTTCACATTATGTGTTATTCCAAAATAGTATTGAATACCTTTGAGACAGTTACTTTAGTGATCCTTACTTAAAGTAGAGGAAAGCCTAAACTATTTCCTCATTCGTTCACCATGCATTTCTGGTAGACTTACCATGTGCCTGGTATTAGGGATGGAGTATGTGAACAGGGACACTCCCTGTTTTTGTTGAATTTATAAGATTTCCCCATCTTGCTCTAAGGGACGCTACTGCTGCTGTATATATAGCTACTGAAACATTTTTTCCTAAAACTCCTTCTACCTAGTACTGTCTCATTAGATCATTTCCACCATCCTAAGAAATAGGTAAAGGAGGTATTACTGTGCCCATTTTATAAATAATGAAATTGTATAACTTGTACAGTCAGTCGTACAGTGGATTAGTAACAAAGTGGGGAGTAGAACTCAGACATACTAACTTGCTAATGTGCTGTTTCTCCTATTTCTACTGCTCCAATCAGACACAACTTCTGTGACATGAACTCTAGAGGTCATATCTCAATTACACTGTTGTGCAAGAAGTACTGAGTATACTGAGAATAGCATCATCTCCTTTACAGAAAAAAGTACAAGTGGGCAAAAATCATTGTGACCCAAGTTTAAGTGAAGTAAGGACCTCAGAAAAACTCACTGGTCTGTACGTAAACAAAATTGGGATCTGTGAATGTATGGTGAAGATTGTGCTATTTCATCAGAACTTGTTTTTCCTAATCCTTAGTCAATACAAATTTATTGAATACTCAATCCTATGTTGAAGAATAGTGCAGTCAGCTAGAGCTGGTTTCTGTGAAATAGCACATGGAGGAGGTAACTATGGAAAACAGTCTCTAAATATCCTTAATTCTTTTCCTGATTTAGAGGTGAGGGCTCTTCAAGAATTTATTTACTATCACAAGGGATCCATATAGCATTTGGACTCTAAGCAGATGTGGGTTTCTTTATCTTTCGTATAGCAGCTGCCAGCGATTCATCCAGCTGCTGAGAGGGAGCACCTCCAAGTTCTCCCTGTTTCTTCTGTGCCATAAACACGACCCAGATTTTATGCTGGATATTCAGTGCTATGCATCTTAATCAGGCAGCCTCTGATTTCTTAAAGACCAAGTGCAACATTTGTGTCTAGGTAACCCTAAAATATTTGGTTAAATAGTTTTAATATATTCTCAGTTTCTTCCAGGAAACTTTAGAATCTTTTTCAGTCCCAGAATGTGTCAGTCCCCAATTTTAATCCAAAATGAGCAAAAACATTCAGAGGCAAGGTTCCAAAAGAAAGTATTTACTAAACCCCGTTTTTTTTTTCATTTAGAATGCCTAGTACCAGACTCCTACTCAGTGAAGCCACTACTCTGTTATCCTGCAGATCACTTCCTTCGAACACCATATACATATTTTAGCATTATCAAGAGAAAACTAACCCTTTGGGGAGGCAGCAATAGAAAAGCAGAATTCCAGTATAACACATCTAAACATGAAGCCACCTGTAGAAAACTTAAGGACCTGATCCTTTCTGGCAAGAAACAGTTTATCCAAGTTTTTCCAAGTACAGGGATGCAGCGTCATTTCTGCATATCTGAGTATTGAACTGTGCTGATTTTTCTATGTCTGAATTTCAAATAACCTCCCGAAGACTATAGTGAACCTCTTGCTATGGAGGCAACTTTAGACTTGGAAGCAAAAAGATCTATTCAAATGCAATGAGCCTTTAAAACTCAGCTTCCCACTTTGGTGTTTCTTTCAATGTAGGAAGATTAATCTGAATTTTCCAAGTCTGGCAAAGACTTGGAAATTCCCTTGAAGTAAATCTTCACTTCTGTTTAGGGTTATTGGCTCAAAAGAGCTTTTCCCTACAGTTTATTTTCACAGTTCATTAGAATTTAATTTTGAGCTTTGTGCTTTTACCAATGAAGATAGATAGATAGATAGATAGATAGATAGATAGATAGATAGATACATAGATAGATAGAAAGAAAGATAGATAAGTACTTCCTCGTCTGCCCATGAAGAAGTACCTCCTAAGGGAATTGTCCTTTCATAAACAACTAGAAAATCAAAGTATCTGAAAAAAACTGCTTCAGATATTGGACAACAGTCAGTGCAGGACTGTGGTCCTTGAGAACCAGTTGCCAAGCGACAGTACAGGAAAGATGGTCAAAGAGCCCGGCAGCTTTGACTGTTGAGGAGTTGAGTTGAGGAGGCAGCGACTGGGGCATAGGGAGACCAAGGTGGCCAGAATTTGCATGGCAGAACACCAGAGACAAGGGAGTTGCTTGGTGAGCTTTGGAGAGCCCCAAGTGGATATTTGAGTCTTTGGTTACAAACTCAGTACATGTGTGGGTTGGAAAAAGAACCACCAGGAAACAGTAGGCCAGCAATTCCTGGAGTATACACGGGGCTAGGAGTAGTTCACACTTCTACCAGCCAGAGTGGAGAAACCTCAAAATACACAGGGCATTGGCATTGGATAGAGTCCTCGGCAGTTTAAAAGCAAAAAGGATTAAACCAATCTGAATGTAACGTAACTGTATACCCAAACCAAATTAAACTCCTTAAAGGAATTCAATAAAATGCAGTACTCAACAACATAAAATTCACATCCTAGCATCCAATTAAAAGTTACCAGACATTAAAAGAAGCAGGAAGATATGACCCATATCCAGGAGAAAAATCAATCGCTGGAAACACAGACCCAGAAATGACACAGATAATAGAATTAGGACCTTTACACAGTTATTTAAATCATATAAATATGATTAAACGTGTAAAGGAAAATATGAATCTGATTAGGAGATAAATGGAAGAGATTAAAAAGATCCAAATGGAATTTCTTTTTTTGTTGTTTTAAAGAT